AATATCATGCCTAATTATGTGTACCTGTCCTGATGAGAGGAAGAAACTGATTACTAGTAGATATCAGTTAATAATTCTCTGACAATCCAGACTGGTATGGCTCAGTGGATTGAGCATTGGTCTGCAAACCCAAAGGTCACAGGTTCAATTCTCAGTAAAGGCAGATGCCTGGATTGTGGGCCAGGTCCCCAAGGAGGGGCCCTGCAAGAAGCAACTGCACATTGATGTTTCTCTCCCTCTCTTTCTCCTCTAGAAATAAATAAAATCTTTTTAAAAATTTTAAAATAAAAACAATGCTCTGATAAAGTTGTAAATTTCTTTCCTATCAAATTAATCCAATTATACTATTTTCCCCTTGGCCACAAAGTTAAACTTTTTGGATCTTAAAATAGAGTAGAAAAGGGAGGTTTCTCTCTTTGTGAAAATATTTCTTTTACTATTTAGATATTGATACTTTTCCAAAGGTTTCTGCTTGTGGACTAAGAATGAAAACATATAGGCTTAGGCCATAAACTTTGCCCATCTTGTTTTTCAAGTAACTCAAAATTTATAACTTGTTTCCCATCAATAAATCATAAATGACATTCCTTTCAGCTTTAAGAAATGTTTAAGGCCATAACAGAACTTCAACTTCTACTGAAGTAATATCAAATATTTTCAAATATAACCACATTCATTCAGTATTGTTAAAAAAATTTTTAAATGAACTGAGAATGAGGAAGTACAAATTTTTATAGATTGTCCCCAATTGATTTAGAAAAAATGACTTAAAATATTTGACTATTTTGGGTGATACTCTTAAAAATTCTCCACAGATATACCAATAATAATCTTAAATCAGGAATTAATATCAAGTTGTAAAAGGTAAGGATAAATTTTATAAAGGATAATGAGTGCTTCCTGCAGTTTGAAAAGATGAAAAAATCTGCCACCATGGTTGAATGGGTCTGTTCAGTTCTCACCTTTCCAGGGAGGCCTACTCCAGACTGCCCTATTCAACACTGCAATCTCTCCACTGCTGCAAATGCTCTTCCACATTTTCTCCCCCACAGCACTAAATACTGTACATATGGTATGTTATCACCTATTATCCCTTATTAGAATGCAAGCTCCATGAGGGCAGGGATCTTGCTATTCATCCACTCATATCCCAAGCATGTCAACTGTTGAGTGACTTGTAATTTAGTTTCTTATTGCATCACGTTTACAGATGTCACTTGTTTTGCTTCATTTTTACGTCCCGATTGGTTGCTCAAGAAATCTCTCTTTGATCCTTTCAAAACACTAGTTACAACATAATTAATTACGCTATGGCAACAAATTATTCCTTATCAGTGCAAACTAATTATTTCTGGCTCATGCTAAAATCTAACACATTAAATGTAGAGGAAAGATTTTAGTAAATTCTTTTCTAAATGGTCATTCAACACCCACACTGACCAGGAACATGTCATTTCTGGTCATCGCATTAAGGAAAGAGAAAAGCTAGAGGAGGATTGTACAAGAGATTTTATTTTTAATGCCTTTCCTCAGAAATGTCACATAACTTTCAGTACTATTTCATTGCAATAAAGTAGTTATAATGGTCCCATCTAACTTCAAGAGGATGGAAATTAAGAAAGCATATGGAATGTTTGGTGATAATTACTGTAACATATGCATCTCATATTTCACAGCATGTATCACAATTTATAATTATTTTAATAAAGTTTATTTTCTCTACTAGAGTGGAAACTCCTCAAGGGCAAGAGAGGGTGTCTGTTTTGATCACCAATATATTCCAAACATCTGTTATGTATAGCGGTGACTTGATAAATACTTGCTGAATAAAAAGTTTAAAACCAACTATTCAAAAATATTTATCCTTTTAATTTGTTAAAGAAAAAAATACTCTCCATAGGAAAGCATTTCTATTTCTTATATCCATCAGTAGCCAAATGGAACTTGATATAAACATTTCCAATACACCAACTTTGGTTAAATGCATAACTCTGAAAATAACTCATTATGTACACATCAAGACACTACTAACAAACCCATTAATATGCAAGATTCATTAAAGTATGACAAAGGTCATCCAGGATTAACATTTTCATTACAACGAACCATGAACTTTCAGTGAGAACTGTTTTGCCTGAATCAAACTATTTTAATTTCTAAAGTTGGAGTCCAGTGTGCACAACCTCTGACACACACACACACACACACACACACACACACACAGCCCATTAGGGCATTAGAACAATTTAAATAGGGAAGGAAGGAAAGAAAAGAGGGAGGGAGGGAGGACACTGAAAGGTGATTTGTAAACATGGGATATCATTTGGACAACTGTATAGAGTAGGCAGAAAATCCTCAATGCGCACGTAAATTAAAGTCAATAAATGATATGCTACAGAAAGCCACAACTAAACATTTTAAGAATTTCACTACAGTAAACAGACTTCACCAAGTGAAACACTGGCGCCATGACCGCAAGCCTCGCTCCATTCCACACAAACAAATCTCTGACCGTTTTAAGGACAAATGAAAATCCACATGCAATAAAGGAGATATAAATTACTTTTAATTTAAAAAAAAGAAAAATATATATCCTTGTTAAACACTTCATTAAAAAATATGCAGCTTTATTTTAAAATGTGGTAATGCTTGAAGATGGCAGTTGACTTCACTCACGTGTGTTAAAATGTCCTTAAAATATCAATACATTGGCTTGTAAGTTAAGTACTGCCCTCCAGCTAAATTCTCAAATAACTGTCAAGAGTTCTATGTTCTGGGATAAGCCCACCATTGTACTAAACAAGGTAAATTCTAGAGCCAAAGGTGAAACATTTATGAAATATTGTTTTTGATGTGACAGGAATCACATGAGCACACAGATTTAAAGACAACGAAGTGATAAACCAGATCTGCTTTCTTTTTAAGGTGTTAACATAACCACTCTAAATTAAGCAACTACTTGGGAATCCCCAAAACTGAAAATCTCATCCTTTTCCCACCTGTAAGAGAAATAGAAAGGTGATGAAGATAACTAATAGTGTTTCACATATTCTTGTTGATCTATTTGACATATAATTCCAAAATGCAAGTATTTAAAATGGTGTTTGAAGAGAAATATCTACAATGTCAATCTTGTGTATGCTAAGTAAATGTGACTTTTATTTACTTAGACACGTATCATCCTGATGCCAACAGTATTTAAACACTCATGATTAACCTACTTTACCGGGAAGGGCTCTCAACAATTGCATATAACCTGCACCTGAAGCATTAGAAAGACTCAATCCACTGTCCATTTCCTGATGTTAGTGAACACTCTACAAATCCGTAACAGAAATACTAAGCTGAAAGGTTCTGAGTATGCAGAGTACAGATTTCATTTTTAAAGAAAATATACATGAATATACAGAAAAAATGATTGTATAGTCACTAAAGCATTAATAATGGCTATATCTCCAGGTGGTGGGATTATGAGTGATTATTTTGTTGTTATGGAAAAGTCTTCTCGAAATAACAACCTTTAATAATCAAAGGTTTTACCATCAATAAAATGTTGTCCTTTCCTGTTTTCACACAACAAACTTTTAAAGCTACTAACCAATATGAATTTTTCAGAGCATCTACTACATTCTGACATAGTTGTAAGATCTCTTGAAAGATGGAAAAATAGCAACATCATGGCCATAAAAGAATACATTTTCTCTAAAATTGAAAACAACCAACAAGGAAATCGATCATTAGGCTTCCTATAGCTATAGAATTATAGGAAAATCAGTCTCTAACATTTCATCTTTAAAAGTTTCAAAATATTTTTTTATCTTTTTTGCTACTTTTTAGGTACTGTACTTATACCAGTTCAGATGGAATATTTATTATTATTCCCATTCATAAGCAATTCTCTCTGTACTAGTAACAGCGCTCCTAATCAAAATGTTACTTAAGTTATTTAAGTTTTAGATGTGTAGTTAATTGTCTGGCAACAATAAAAGGACACAACATGTTTCATGTTAGCAGCAAATCAACTAGATTTAAGGGTCTTGATTTTTTGGAAGCCTTTGGAAGCCTGCATGTTAAACACTGGTGATTTTTAAATTCTCAATGGAAATGGTGATGGCATTCACTTAACTAAGCTAGCTCAAATTACAGTGTAGTAAGAGCATGAATAAAGACAAAATTGCCAGTAACCTCCTATTTTTCAGAAATCACCATGATCCTATAAATCATTTTTAACTATAGTATAGTTTTCAATCATATTTAAAAAGTGTGTATCCACATATTTTTCATACTTCTTTAGGTTATTATACATTGTTCATTTACTTTTAAAAAGTCACATGAAAAAAATGTAAACTTGAAATAACATTAAATTCCACTGTTACATAAATGGTCTGCTTTATTTTCAAAACATTTGTATAGCCACGCTTTCACTTATTACCTTACTATGCTTTGGTGAAAGAATATGCCTAAGTCTTTAAGCTTTTAAGAATATTAAAATACAAGATAGAATTCAAGTATACCAAGTTCTTTAAACTCTTCTGGAATATCAATTTTTAAACGGCACTAGTCACAATGAGTAGATGAAGCTTTCCATAGGTTGATGGCAGACCAGAACCATAAAGAATGAAAAAGCCACAAACTGAAACCTGAAGTATCAAATCTGTTCTGGGCAGTTATCTGCAGACCTCTGGCTTAGTTCCCCCTCACCCCAAAAGCACAATTTTTCAAGGATCTTGGTTTTTCAAGATTAGAATGTTATATAATGTGCTCAAAACAATTTAAGCGTTACCTAAGGCCCTAAAAAGTGCCTTTCTCAAACATGAGTAGACTGACACTCTACTCCCAAGCTAACAAAGCCCATGTTTTAATTACTGCAGATTGTGAAGGACAGCAGGGAAAAAACGTACAGAAAACTTATTAATTACATTTGGCTGTCCATTATTTAAAGTTTCAACAAATTTAAGCCATTTTAAATTATACTCTGATTTAATAAAACACCCACACAATGACAAGAATGAGACTTTAATCAGTTTTAAGTGGAGTTTATAACACTAAGAGATAAAGGGTTGTTAACAACACAATAACAAATGGACATCTGATTGGTATGAGGCATTATCCTGTACACATGTTTTTTTTTGTGTATCCTCAGTGCATAGCATTTACACACAGAGCCACTGCTGCACAGCACAAGAGTATCTGAAGAGGCTGAATCAGAGTAAGGCTGTTTAACAGACTGAAATTTCTTAGTATATATATTCTATATGAAAACTGATTGAACTTTTGAACTGGCAGGGTAGAAGGCAACTTTGCCAAATACCGCAGTTAAAGCCCCCACTTTAGTGCACAGTTCCACCCCTTCCACCTGCATGCATGACACATTAACAGTATTTAAAGGTAAACGAGGCACTTTGTGGCAACCACAGCCATCGTTATTAACATATTGCACAAATTTTCTAGAACTAAACATTTAACTTGTACCCTTTTATTTTTTAAAGCTGAAACATTTGATGCTGCCAGTAAACTCCACTTAAGTTTATAACCTGTGCCACAGCAAAAATGGTGATGCTATTTATTCAACTACCTTTAATAATTATGGCAAAAAATGTTCAAGAGGAGCTACAGAGGACTTGTGATGGTACATGGCCCAATTGTAAGCTTTCTTAAAAGTGATGCCTTCAAGTAACTTCAGACATGTAAGCGGCTGCACATCCAAAATGTCTATGAAAACATTCCAGAAACTCAGAGATTACCTACAGAATGCATTTCAGGCTAATTATGAATACTGTCATAAATAAAGTTTTAATAAGGACTCAAAAACTTTCAGTCATAGCAATTCTTGTCAAATTCTATGGGGATGGTAACTGAAATAAAGGAGAGTAATATGTATAATATATATTTATATATAATATATATAAAATGCCATTTTTCCATTTCCAATGACTACACCATAAAATGTAAGCAAGGCTTCTCAAAAACATTGAAACATTCAAAATCAAAACCCTCATTCAGACCTTCACATTCCAAAGGAAAAATAATAACAGTGCAAAAGCCCATTATAATGTCATTATTTATGACCTGGCCTTCCATGTTACATATTGGAACAATACAAGTTATGTTTTAATATACTGTGCCCAAAACTGTAACAAATAACAGTATTAACAACTATCTTCAAAACATCAATGGTTGATTTTCAACTTAGTCAACAATTTTCAGCTTTTCTGAAAGACAAGATGGCATATAAATTTCAATGGTGAGGCCTTAGGAATAATTGTCTCTATCTTACCAATTTAACTTATGAGAAGTCAATCAATTTTCTATATATCAATGTTTAAATATAAATGTGTAAATCCTAAGAGCTTTGTTAAAAATTTAAAAATTTTATTTGTTGAATGAAACTGACTAGGTATGGAAAACATGTCAACGTTATTTACTAAGAATATTTTAGATGAAGTTTTGCCTAATCTACTTACCATCAAACTCTATAAATGCTGCTGTAATAGGTCCTATGCAATCTGTATTTGTAAATTAACTAGGTCAGACCACAGCTAGTGAACAATTTCAGCACCAATAAGTTATTGAAAATGAGATTTTACACCATTAAGAAATAAATTGCCTGGATAGTCAAATGTTTCAAAATCAAGGTATAATTTGAAAGACACCAAATTTCTGGGGAAAAATTCTTTTAATAATATCTTCACATTAGCTTTACAATAGTAGTTGTACTCTGCTTAAAACCGTATGCAGTCTGGGCATATCAAATATATGATATTTAAGAAGTGAAAACAAAGCCCTAGTCCTAACTCTAGCACTATGAAGAAATAATTCAACACTGCACATAAAAAAAAATCTATTCTTTCAATAGCAAATCGTTAAAAGCATTATGTGGGACAATTTCTACTGAAAAAGTAAATGCCTTATTACTTGTGCAGTGCTGAAATTTTACTGCAACTCTAATTTCCTTTTTAACACAAATAATGTCCTTTTAAATATAAACATTATATGTATTCAGTATTCAAGTAAAATTCCCTAACAGTTAATGACATTTAAAATATGTGCAAAACTGCAAAACTCATTGTAATAGAATGTGTATGGTCAAAAGGGTGGAACGGCTGACAGCTATTGGATCGAGTAAGTGCATCGTAAATCCTCAAAGGAAAAAAATCTGCCTAAAACTGTAGACTCTCAAATTGAAATTTCCTGTGCAGCATTACAAAATAGTTTATACTTAATGAGAAAAAAGAAGCTTGCAGGCAGCACATGAAGCATCCACAGCAGGTATATGATTGAAAACTAATAAAATATGTGTTAAGTTGTTGACTGATGTAGGTAATAATAGCATCTGACTTTTAGCACTGGCCTTGATTACACAGGAGATGGAGCAGTCATTACAATTGAGAAAACATATTTAATAAATCATTGTCAATTTTTATAATGTTTCAAGCCCATTCTTTGTTGATAGCCTCCACATTTATATGGTTAAGTCATTGTTGCTGTGTTTCTACTACAACCACATTATTTTTATATCCCTTCATTTGTGGATTCTCAAGATGTTGTTGTGAAAGGTTCATTCCTCTACCCCAATACACATTCACTCCCTCTAGCTGCCTTTTCTAGCACCAATATGCTTAAAGAAAAATAAAATAAAATGCACAAACAACAAGCAGTGACAGCGGCCAATTACTCAAATATCCAGATTAATAACTGTAGCATGCTAAAGAAAGGTGCATGTAAATAGCTGAAGATGGTAGATGGTTCAGAGTCCAGCACAAAATATATTCCTTTCTGAGCATTCCTTCCATTCCCCTAACCCAAATACATGCATTAGAATGTAGCACAACCCTTTAGAAACTCCTCCAGCCAACTGCAAACTTATCTGTTGCCACAAGTGCAAAGGGGTAGGATGTGAACCTGAATATCATCACAAAGCTCTTTAGCCACTTCAGTTGGTGACAGAACACAAAATGAGAAATTCCTACGTATACGCATCAGTCTGTCTCCACTTTTTATAAAACTGGAATAAAATGGGAAAGTGCCATCTTTATTTATCCTAATTGAATTTTAAATGTCTTTTTGACACAAAAAGGTATATACATGACACAGCTACACAACCTTTTTTCAACTGGACAACAAGTGTCAAAACCCTGTGGATGTATAGGGTAAAACAAGATTGGTCAGGAAAAGAGAATTGTTCCTATAACTGGTAATCTGACACAATGTCCTATTGCCATTAAAAAAAAAGGTCCATTTTCAGTTTATTCAAGTTTGTTTTCATGGTGTTTTATCCCTCTTGATAAAAAAAAATTCAGACTTTTGTAATTTGTGTATGCTGATCTTCATCAAAAGGTTCATTCTCTGGATCAGAGTCAGTGGTGTCAGAATACCTATAATGATCAGGTTCATTGTCACTAACATCTGGTGTTACAGAAGTTGAACTGCTAGCCTCTGGATTTGATGGCTCCTCTACTGTTTTTGTGAAGTACAGCTTCACCTAGAGAAAAAAAGAGAAAGTTTAAATGGAAAATCCTTAAATCTGACTAATCTTAAATTACTCAGTATAAATATATATTTTTAGCAGATTCATTTTTAAGTACCATGACAAACATCATTTTTAAAAGGCAGAGCTGCCTTCTAAATGACCCTCGTAAAATTTCCTGCATTGTCTTTCTTGTTATATGGTGAAAAGATAAACTGGGATGTTAATATATACATATATTTTATAAAGATTTTATTTATTAAATATGTTTTTAATAAGCGTTAAGTGCAAGCATTAACTAAATATACAAAAGAAATACACTGAGACTGAAGTTCATCAATAACTCACATAACAGATTTTCAATCACAAAATTCAATTTACTAATAGTTGAGTTCCAAAAGAATGTTTCATTAACCACCTATCTGAAGCTCAATGTATTTTTTGATACAAACAATATTAAACAAATACAAATATTATACTATATAAAATATTGATTGACAATGTTGTTTAGGATCCCAATAGCCCTAAAACCTGAAGGAAGAAGAAGAATGTTAATATTATACAGTGGTCTAAACAGATAACTAAGGGCCCTTACACACTTAAGCTAAAATAATTGCCAAAATGGCTCTACAAGGCAGGCAGTTCCATTTTAAAGGAAAGGATGGTAAACTCAGAAAGGTTAGGTAACCTGCTGAAGACCACTTATCTAGTAGACAGTGGATATGGGATTTAAATTAGATTTGACTTAGAATCCCTTGCTCCTTCCATTATATCTACAGCCTCTCCCCGACATCGTCTAAGAGTCCTTATCAGTTCTTCTTCTTTTACACCCAACATTCACTCCACCAGTAATCCTTTTAGTTCTACTTTCAAAATACTATGAACAGTTAGTTCATCCTGGAACAATGCAAGGGTTAGGAGCACCAACCCTGTGCAATAGAAAATCCATGTACAACTTCTGACTCCTCAAAAACTTTACAGCTGTCTCCCACTACCCATGAGGAACTGGCTCCTGGACAGCAAAATTTGTGGATGCTCAAGTACCTTATACAAAATAGCACAGAATAATGTATACAGTGGTCCTCTGTTGGTTGAATCTGTGGATGCAGAACTCAGGGACATGGACAGCCAAATGTATATTTACTGAAAAAGATCCAAATATAAATGGATCCACACAGTTCAAACCCATGTCACTGAGGAATTAATTATAGGCCTAATCTGACAGCCTCTCATTACCCCTTGCTGCCACTACTCTAGTCCAAACAACCACCATTTCTCATCTGAACTAAACCACTGCAACAGCCTTTTAACTAATTTCTCAGCTTCCATTCTTATCTCCACTCCCTACTTTTCTCTCCAGTCTACACATTAAATAAGTGGACAGAGTGAACTTTTAAAAAAGACACATTTCATCTTTCCTGTGCTGAAAACACTCTAATGTCTTCAACACATGGACTAGTGTGATTTAGTGAAAATTATTTCTTATCAATCCATCCTCAAATACACCACGCTCACTCCTGTGTCAGGGCTTCTGTACCTGCATTTCCCTCTTTTCTCAGATATTTGGACGGCTCACTTGATTCATGTAGGCCTCTAATTAAATGTCACCTACTTGGGGGTGGGGGGGCCTTCTCTAACCATTCAGCTAAAAAACACACCAACATCATTCTCTAGCCCATTTTTTCCATAGCACTTACTGTTATGTGATATATTTGTTTACTGATAATTAAAATAATTTTATGCATAATCATAAATATAAGATCTCTTATAGTATTAAAACAAAATAATAAAACTGGAGGAAGTCCTACTTTAAAAGCTAGTGATTGAGGAAAATGTAAAATTCAAGAAAAGAAAGAAAACAGAAACCTGTGGATTCTAAAAGGCACTCCTAAACATTTATAAGAAATAAAGATCTAAAGATAACTAATATTGGATCTATTTTCATTTAAAACATGTAGTCCCCCCTTTCCTTTTTATATTACTAGCAATATTCTTATAAAGCTATGGTTAGTTTTGTTAATTATAAAAATGGAACGAAGCAGAAAAAGTTAAGAGAATTTTTAAAAAGAGAAAGGAGGAGGGTATGGTGAAAGTAAGGGGAAGAAGTCAAGTAGAGTCCAAAGTGGAAAAGGGAAAGAGAAAAATGGCAAACCTCCATTTAGGAGCCTGGAGAATCCTTACCTATACATAGAAACAGAAACAGAAACACACACACACACACACACACACACACACACACACACACACACACATGCGCAAGCGCCACATCACATATAGCTGAAATTAAAACAAACCAAACAATTCCATAATAAAAGGAAACAGTTTTAGAAAGCCAAAAATAGGAAAGGATAAAGAGTATAAACTTTCAGGCCATATGAAATTTAAGCTAAGACTATAATACGAGAAAGGTATTCATGTGAAGGGTAGGGGAAAGGCTGACAGTGGAGAGGTACAGGGAGAAAGAAAAGAATTGGAAAGACCAAAAGCAGAAGAGCTTAGCATTTTGAAGAAATGAAGAGAAACCAGTTATGGGTGAATCTCAGGGAACAAGGTAAGAATGTGTCTCGAGTTGATGTAGGAGGTAGACAAAGACCACATTATCTTCAAAAAGTGTAAACAAGAGCGACATAATCAAGTCTATTATTTTTAAGATCACTCTGAGGGCACTAAATGTAAATTGGAAGGGTACAAGAATAAAACCATTGAGAACATTCCATACAAATCATTCCCCAATTGATTCCGAGTTCTCCCCTACCTTTCTTCCCCCCGTTTCTCCTTCATATCCCACTTACTTAACTCCCCTTCCCAATGTCTGCCCCAAATTTCACCAAACAATAAAGTAAGGGAAGTGCAGCAATCATGACTTTTTACACATCCTGGATTTCAGACTGCTTCTACATAAATATTACTTCTAAGTAATATTTAAATTAAAAATTGGTCAAATAAATTCTTCACTAGTTATACACCAAGAATGAAACAAACACACACAAAGCCACCCATCAACTCAAAATGATTTTTAACTGACCTTAAAATTTGGAGAAAAGTATCGGTTGGCCTTGTCTTTATTTGCTTTGTCGAGATCATTTTTTGTTAAGGTGAGTACTAGATATTCTTTGTCATTATCTGCCCGCTCTATACTGCAAATACTATCAATTTCTTGATCACATAGACTTCCATTTTCTACTTTTTCTGAGGTTTCCTCTGGTCCTGGTATGAAGAATGTATTTACCCAAAAATGAAACATTTTGTCCTAAAAAATAAAAACATGTCATTTTTAAATATTTTTAAAAAGAAAATGTTACCTATATTCATTTTCAGTCTTTGCCATGAGAAGTCATCAAAATAAGCCATTCGTCATTTGATATTTTGAATAAAGGTCAACACTAAGATTAATACTTAGCAACCTGTGGGTTATTTGTTGCATCTAATTTGTATATGATTTTTCTTTTACTCAAATTTTAAACTGATAATGTAGTCCCACAAGTTCTAAGGTAACTTTTACTTTAAAACCTTAAGTAAAATATCTCCTTTCTATTTTAGTATTAGCTTTATAAATATTTTGAGCTTATATGTATGTATTTAAAAATTCAGAAATTGATTTAACATTCTCTTTGTCTCAGTAAGTTATCTTTTACAAAATTTATTTTAACAAAAGTTCTTGAAATGCCAGTACAACCTCCCAAAGAAGCAAGGCAGATACATTTTTACTGCTACAACAATACAAACATTAAGTGGCTCTAGTTTCTTAAATGACAATGAATGTTTGAAAAAATTCATAATAAAACGTGGAGTAGGGGGAAAGAGGTTAAGTACTTCTGACTTTTTTATGTTATAAAACACGTTTTGTTTTGTCTTTTAATGGAGCAATCTTTTATTTTGAGATACTTTTACAAAGATGTTGTCAGTACATAAACTTTCTAGTAGAGAAGAACAAACACAAAAATCAGCCTCCAGCCATGGGCAGCTGTTCTCCTCAGGGCCTAGGATCCTCTTTACCCAAGTGACAGGGTGGAGGCATGTACTTCCTCTCCTTTATTAGCTTATCCCACAGCCTCATGATGGTACTTAGTCGTTTCTCTTCTTCTGCTGAATCAGATATTCTATGAAATCATCATATTCTATGTTGCACTCTTTCTTTGCGCAGATACCAACAATTCTATGTGCACATTCTAATCCTTCTCTTTCAAAAGCATGGCACCAAGATGGAATTTCGTGAGGCTGCTCAGCACTCTGGGTTGTCACTTAGTGGTCTAAGTCGATGCTGAGCCTTTTCTGTATATCAAAGAAAGGCATGGCGTCCTGCAGCAGTGCCCTGGTCCATTCCCTGGCTGAGGGTACTAGATGATCTCTAAAATGCCTATTTTTAAGGAATCACTTCTTACTAATAACATGGGGTCCTGTTAGTCAAAAATAACATCAGAAGTTCATCACTTCAAACCTTTCTTGAATGCTCTCTCTCTTAATTACTGGAATTTGGTCTGCATGGATCATCTGACAATTAATGATGCATGGCCTATGACACCTTATCTGATACCATTTAAATATTTTTTCTAATTTATTTTCAAGTTATTTCCCCCCCCAGGAAGATGTTACGCCCTTAAGTATCATATCTTAAAGGTCTTTGTATCTTCTAACAGTACCTAGCAAAGCAATCTCATGTCTTTTTAAAAATATTTGTTAATTTTAATTATTTTAGCAAAGTCTCTGAATTAGTTAAGTACACACATAATTTTACTTAGAGTCAGAAGAAAATAAGCTGGTAATATTTAAATTTTCAGAAATGTGGATTCCATATATATACCCATCGATTATACTAAATCTGTTTTTGTTTAAATCAGTGTAAACATTTATAACAGGAAAGGTAAATCACATAAAATGGAAATGTATGTGAAAGAATACAAGATACAAATATATTATAAATATGTAATCTTCAATTTTACATGTGTTAATGTAACGCATAGGTGGTAATAACTGAAATAATAAGAAATGGAAAATGGTGATTTAAGTGCCTGCTTCCAAAAGCAAAATATAACATTTTAAGTGTACTTGTCTTACAATGAACATAAGAGAAAATACTACCTTAATTTTAGAACATTTGCTAACACACCTTGGATTATTAAAAAATAATTATTCAAAGTTACTGAGATATATTTATACAGAACAAGCAAGAAATGAGTTTCTGGTGAAAAGAATCAGTTTAGCATTTTTTTATTTTTCTAACTAGTTGGATTCTAAGTAAAGGAAATTATATTTATTCTAGTAAATCAAAGTAGAGTTTAAAATTTTAGTAGTAAATGCAACTGCCTCTATTTTCTTTCAAAAAAAAGCTAAAAATCAGGAAAACTAAGTCAATCCTATTTCTAAGAACATCTAAACATTGGCTATATGTTATCTAGTATGTCTAATGAAGCATTAATAATATACAAAGCTAGAATTTTTGTTCATTACCACTTAAAAATTTTGTGCCTTATCTTCATTTTCAATATTCACTTATACTATTTTAAAACAAGATTGTTTTAAAATAAAACAAGATTGTTTTAAAATAAGCTCTCACATTTTCTAAATATAGCTCAATAAGATGCAAACCTCAATTTTCTAAAACCGTATATTTAAATAATGCCTCATTTTTCATTCCTTATTACTTCCTCTTCATACCTATTTCTCTCCTAGCTAAAAATCAAAATATTCAGTAAATCTGTAGAAGCTAAAGATAGAACGATCTAACTGTAAGAAACATAACCTGGAGAAAGTGGTTTGTGTCATTACACAAGACCATGAAACAGATCATTCACATACATACACCTTTTTGAAACTCATAACCATATGTATGCTAACTTCTCAGGTCTAAGAAAATTTTAACTGATTTCATGGAGTATGTATACATTTTTTAATATGTTTACAAAATTTCTTTGCATAACCCAAATTAAAGAAAATCAATCTCAAATTACGACTTTTAAAAGACCATATGGCCTTTTACTTCTAATAGGATTATTTATCATTATAATGGCTAATCAATACCATAATAAGCAATGCATATGCAAACCTAATAGAAAACAAGTTATAATTCATTAGATATCAGTCATAAAATAAAATATACCTTTTATCTCTTACAGATTCCTTTTTTGGTAAGATTTTATTTATTTTTAGACACAGGGGAAGGGAGGGAGAATGACAGGGAGAGAAACATTGATGTGAAACATCGACTGGGTTACTTCCCATATGTGGGACCGAACTGCAACCCAGGCATGTGCCCTGACTGGGAATCGAACTGGTGTTCCTTTGCTTTGCATGAGAACACCTAACCAAGTAAGCCACACCAGTCAGGGCTACAGACTGACTTCTGCCTAAGCAAATAGTTTAGGCAAAAGATCTAAGGTTATTATTTAAGATACGGTTATTTTGAATATTTTCCCCAAGAAAAGTAAAGTACAAACCTTTTTTAGCTTGTTCTGTTTGTGGAAGAACTCTACTTTGATGTCACCACACACAGGCAATGGCTGAGGGAACTCAAAGTACATGAACTTGTCTTCCCGCCGTGTGGGTCCTGAATTGGAGGAATATATCTTCACCTTTAGCTGGCAGACCACAAAATGAGGATCTGCACGGTTAAATACACGTAAGTATCATTTCACAGAAAATGCCTTTAACTATCAAACTGTCAAAAACTATCTTAATGATTAATATTAGCAATCATACAAAAATAGTAATGTGGCTTTTATAACCCTGATCTAAAACAAATCAATGAAAATAAATTAGGTAAAAAATATAATCAATACAAGATTTTCCCTAATCTCAACCTTCAACATAAGGTTCTATTATTGGTATGAAAGTCAATTTATTTCATAAATTTTAAATCCAAACACTAGATTTCTAGCACTATAGTAACATAAAAACTTTAATATTAAAATGATGTTAAAAATCTAATATAAATTATTTTAAGCATTAAAAATGCTAAAATGATTTCCTGGCACCTATGAACTATATAAAAGGTAGCTTTTAAAAGTTATTTTAAAGTCTCTACCATGTAACAAAATCCACAAAGTATAATCTATAAAAAGTCTATACTAAATTCCATAATCTCAGTATTTATGAAAATATTAAACATCATTCATTTACCTATAGTTCACATTTTATTTTTAAAGGTATATAAAGTCACCATGATGAGAAACATGGAGAAAGAGATTTGAAATGTCTGCAAAGAACTGTAACAGACATCAAGTATAAATTTTAGGGCATCCCCTCCCTCTAAAACACATATCATATTCATTAACAATTATTTTGGCTTTGGCCTACATCTGTTTTAAAAAAACTGATAAAATATGGCCTCTCAAAATGTATCATGCTTATGTATTAGCAGTGCAACTAAAAGGTAGTAAGGTGTTAAAAGTGAAGAATCATGTTTTACATTTTTATATCTCATAAATATACCTAATGACATTAATGATGGAAATTAAAGATATGAATATTAAAATCCTAGGATTTTATAAGAACTTTAAATTATCTAAGTAATTTGACAAAGTATATAATTCATTTGTAGTACACTGAGTTCAAAAACAAGCTCATTAAAAAGAAAGTGATTAACCTTAGGAGGGCTAGAAATGGGTTTGGAAGGAAACATGGCAAGACAATCAAGAAATAAAGGCAAGCTTGCATACAGTGCATGAGAAATATATGTATGTATATATACACAGAGACATCAAATTCTCAGCACCAAAAGGCATTACCCTTAAAGATGAAAGAAAAAAGTATCACATTCTTTATCAATGTACCCAACAACTAAGAACAAGGTAAAAACCTTATCCCGGCTAAATGAATGTTCCAATTTAATAAATATCTACTAGCTCATCTATACAGTATCCAAAGCAATATAGGCAATCATATAATAAACAGGATTGATCAAAGCATATGGGGTTATTCTAGTTTGGACTGTGGATTAAATTTTCTCGGATACATGCGTATTTGTAAGATATTTATCATGAGAAAAAGGCTCCCTAAAAAGGAGAAATATTACACTAATAGCCAATAATTTTCACTTCCTTGACTAACAATTCAAAGTACAATAAGCCATTTTACACGATAAATTTTACTGGGAAGTCTAGCTTGAAGAAACAAACAGGTAAGATCTCAAAGCTGTGAATAAAAAGCAACCAGAATGAAAATGCCTTGTAACCTTATTAATTCAATATTAGTTCAAACTCCACTAATTCAAAATCTGATAATCCTGATTTCAAAACTTTAAAAAGCAAATTAACTATTTAAGTCATACTGCATCTAAAATGTGTTACTTAGAAATCCCCTCATCTAGTTGTTTGCTTTGTTTGTTTGTTTGTTTTTTAGGTTCAGTTGTTAATTTTCAGTTTGTTATTTTACTGTTCATATTTTTGATCATCATCTTTTTCTTAGATAAGTCCCTTTAACATTTCATATAATCAGGGCTTGGTGATGATGAACTAACTCCTTTAACTAGAAGAGGAACAGAGTCACAGAAATGGAGATCACATGAAGGGTTTTCAGCAGGGAGCAGGTGGGGGGAAGAATGAGGGAAAAGGTACAGGGAGTAAGAAGCATAAAGGATAGGTACAAAATAGACAAGGGGAAGTTAAGAATAATATAGGAAATGGAGAAGCTAAAGAACTTATATGCCCGACCCATGGCCATTTAAGCAGGGGAATGCTAGTGGGAAGGGAGGTGCAGGGTGGAGGAGAATAAAGGGGAGGAAAAAAATGAGACAACTGTAATAGCATAATCAATAAAATATATTTTTAAAAAAGAAATTCTCTCAAAAACTAAGCTAAAACATCATAATAAAAGTGGAAAATATTTCCTCAAAACACTAAAGAAACTAATTTTCTTTATAATATGAATTTCACATTTTAAATACAAGTCCAACATTAGTATGGTTCTGTTGACTTCTAAGACACAATTCTGATATATCCTTTGTATGACTGTTCTAGACTGGTACCTAGTAAAAAACATCAGAATTAAATTTTCTCAGATATATGCAGAGTGAGAATCGTATTGAGAGAAAAAACAAAGTGATGATCTTTCATTAACATTTTAACCATTTAAGATACACAGAATATAGTAAATTTTCCTTTATTTAGAAATATAAAGACAAAAATAAAATTTTTAAAAAGTTGTTAATCCCTGACAATTTTGCAGAAGACACTTTACTTTCACCACAAGTTTTGTTTTCTTCACTGATTCCTCTTATTCTTCCTGAAAACAAATTGTTGTAACTCCCCTTGTTCCAGCCAGTCCTCAGCATTTCCCTGACTGTTCCCATCCTCTATAGCCCCACGCCACCTTTACATGAAATGCTCAACTTTCCTGATGCTTCCCAAAACATCTGACAATTCTCTCATGTAAAGATTCAAACCAATTCTTTCAAGTACTCACTGAATATCTATCTTCTTGTAAACAGCTCACCTTCACCTGAATTAAAACATGTTTAAAACCATATCAGCATCCATGTCTCCAAAGTCTCAGATTCACTTTTCTTTCTTCCATCTTCTAAAGGGAATTATTCACCTGACCAGCATCAAAACTCTGACAAAATCTTTAAATATAAATGGCAAAAGAAAAACTAATCTGCCTTGCCAGAGTGGCTCAGTTGGTTGGAGCATCATCCCATGCATCAAAAGGTTGCAGGTTCGATCCCTGGTCAGGACATGGACAGGAGGCAATCCATTGATGTTTCCTCTCACATCAATGTCTCTTTCCCTTCCTCTCTCTCTGAAGTCAGTAAAAACATATCTTCGGGTTAAGGATTAAAAAAAAAAAACAACTAATTTCATTGGATTTCCCTAGCAAAGCACATCTGGCTTATAGCAAGTCACATAACTGGTTTCCTTTCCACCATTTTTTTCCCCTCTTGCTATCATCACTTTCTATACAAGTGTGCTTAAAACACAGTTTAAGCCTCCAGTATTATCACTGACACTGTAGCATTTATCATACCAAGTTCGACATCCCCATTCAAGGTCCTCTAAGAATCCGTCACACATTCCGTTCCTATTTTATTTTCTGTCTCTACATTTCTTGTCCAGCTCCTTTCCTTCTGCTGTGCTTCAATTCAAGCTATTTCCTATTGCCTGTTAATACTTCCTTCAGTTTTAATGCCAATCCGAACTGTACACTTTCCCCAGTGTTCAATGAAGAGCTGGACTTCCTTCACCAAACTATCTGACAAGCCCTCCGAAACATTGTCTTTTACTCAATATGCCCTTTGTAATTTATACATACAACCTCCTATTTAAGTATATATTATTTATATACAACTTCACTACATAGTATTAAATCAGAATGCATACAAAATTAATAAAGATGAAAAGATTTCAGTAGTCAGTATAAATGTAATACTGAGACCAAAACAAAAAATAAAACAACACAAAACAATATTTGAACATAGGCAAGCAGAACAGAACTGATGAGATTTTTAAGGCCAATGTGAAAATATACACAAGGTAAGATTGCTGAACTGAATGTTCTCTTTCCCTTATTATTTCTCTAATAGTTTATTCCTTTCTGTTGGCTCTTATACTGATATTTATACTATAGGAAAATCATGAGATTTTTTTCTTCCTTTTTCCTTCTCCTCTATCTGAAGCTCCTATGTCAATCACCTGACAGTTTAGTGCTTTGCAATCGGCAGTTTTTTAAATTGTACTGAGATGATAAAAGCATGAGAGGGGTCCCTTAAAAACCTTAACGTGCTATATTACCAAAACTGTAGTCTTTGATAGAGTTGCCTTGCTCTAAGAATACAGAAAATATCTGATCACACGTAATGACAAAAATAAATAACATCAGGAAATTAATTTTCTAGATATAAATTTTGGGATAGAAATTATTTTAAATTACATATTTTCAACAAGCAAAACTTAAAACTAAAATCTAAAACCACTAATGAACTGCAAAACATCACTGAAATTAGAAGTATTAAAAGAAATAATGTGGTAGTATCTTATCTAGAAACTATAAAATGCATTCTAAATACTAGAATCTAAATCCAGGTTTTCTCTAATATTCCACACAATCTGACTCAACCCTACTCAGTCAATATACTTTAGCTTGTTTCCATGTCTTGTCACTTTTTTTCCTCTTTATTGTCCCTGTCACCATTACTATCAATATCTAGTCTTCCCTAAGATATAAAGAAATCGGTCCCTGCTCAACCCCAGGAAACTATGAATCCTACTTGGACTCTCATGCTGATGTGATGGGACAGATTTTTTAACCATCTAATCAGAATTTAGGCTGCATGTGGTAGTTGCCTCTCAGAATACTTCTTTCATAAATATAATTCAGCTTCAAAGACATTAAAACACATTGCTCTTGGCTTCCTTGGCCCAAGGCACTAAACAACTGAGCAAATTAATGAGTACTTAAAAATATATACACTACTGCAAAAATTTTCAGTATGGTAAATTTCTTTCTAGATTTTTATATTAACTTCTATATATATATATATTAAGAAAACTGTTTCAATACATGGAAGAATGAAAATCTAAAGCACTTACTGCAAGTTCCACCACTGAACATTGGAATAGTTTCAAACATCATCTTGTGAAATAACAGTGCCACTGGTCTATAATCCAGGTGATTCTTTAACAGGTAGCTATAATAATACACATAGCGCCTCTGACTGGGAATAGTTACTCCCTGTGGACAGAAAAAAGAAAAAAGCCGAATTCAAAAGAAAAGTTCCATTATAGTTATTTCATTTAAAAATTGTTGTGGTAACTGGGTTGTACCCACTGAAGAACATATATATATATATATATATTAGAAATCTGACCTGATTAATATTTAAATCCTGCTCAATAATAGAGTAAATCAGGGCAACATCCATACAAAAGAATATTATCAGAATACCTTTTTTCCCTTAAAGGACAATTACTGTAACATCACAACACCCCCATTTATTCAATGGTCAAACAATGCTCTGACCCATGAGCCCAATAAGTGAAGGCCACTACATATCCAAAATAACTATCAGAGCCTCTGCCTACAGCTGCGCTCTTTATACACAGGGCTCCCCACAACAATTTATGGACTCTTATTAAACACAAAATTCCTCACCAACTTGGTTACTTAATTTCCAAGCAAAAGCGTATTAGAATCAACAAACTAGATGAAGGTAGACAGCCTTTAGAAGGCAAAAATAGCAGCAGCAAAAAGTGATGCTGGCCTTAAAGCCCCAGAAAAAAACAGGAGTGTGTAACCAACACAAATGTGTACAATAATCAGAGATGTTCCTGATCTACACTATCTCTCTTTGTTAAAAGAGAAAATATGTATTGTTTTAGAAAATTTAAATATTACAAATGATAAATATATAATTTGTGTTATTTAAAAGGTGATCTTGATTTATCTAAAGAAAAAATATCTTATGTGTGCAGCAATGCATTCATTAATGATGCTGAATAAATTGAGATATTAGATTTTTATGTAGTTTCCTTACCTATTACACAATGTGACTTAAAAAAAATTTACCATGTTGTCACTAATACTACTGTAGCCTTTAGCTGTGTTTTAAGTACAGTTGTGTAGAAAGTGGTAACAGTAAGAGGAAACTATTCAGTAAGAATACCTACCTCTCACCACCCTCTTGCATGTACTCTTACTTTTGGCCAAACTAAAGTATTTAATGTCCCCATATTGTACTTTCTGGCCTTTGTAATATGCTAATCTATCAGATTAAGGACTATACAACTGGGATGTTTTATATATTTTCTAACACCTCGACCAAGTAATTATTTGAAGCTTCCAGGTTAGATAGCAGACACCTGAAATGCAATTCAGACCGAGTACTTGAAGGCTCCTGCACACTTTCACTGATCTGTTTAGACTTTTTTTATTTCATCATGAAGGATTTATGATTAATGTTTTTATTGAAAATTGCCTGTTTTCCACTGAAAATTTCAAATTCATTCACATGGGCTTTAATATGAATTTTAATTTCACCTTTACACTGTAGTAATATCTCCTTTCTCAATCTAATTTTTTTTTCTTCCTCTTTACTTTTTCCTTTAACTTTCCTTTATATATATATATATATATTTTTTTTTCCCCCATGGTACACTTTTTATTCTGCATGGCTATTGTACAAAATATCCCCACTTCCCTTGAGAAACGGCACCACATCCAAAACACACTTTGATGAACACTGAATATTAAAACATTCCATAACACTATATAAATGGATTTAATAGAAGTGGACAAAAATACAAAGTCTTCATCCTTTTGGTATTCTAAGAATATGCCACAGCATTGATAATATGAAGGAAAATGTTTGGAATTATTTTTAAATTCAAAATTCTTCTGGTTGTCCTTTATATTTTTAATAAAAAGTATATTGATTTTATTGGCATTTTCATACGATAAGTTTAGATTTATTATTTGAAAGGGTTTACTTGGTTTGTTTACTAACTCACACATTTATATTTTCATATTTATTATTTCTTCTTTCCTACTTGTTATAGTAATCTCTAATAAGAATTTGTATTTCCTCATTGACTAAAAATTATTTTAAGTGGTTTTAAATTTTTAAGTGATTGATTTAGTTGGATTTAACTTTTAAAAAATCTCTAATTCTATTAAACTGTAATCAAGGACTGGGATTTACATATTTCTACTGGGAGGTGAAATTTTCTTTGTAGTTGGCATAATGAATTATTAATCTTGGTAACTGTTTAAAGGATCACAAAAATACATTCTTAGGGGCTAGTTTCATTATGTTAATCAACCTATTTACATATCTTACTTTGTACCTTCTTGATCCTAAAGTATATTGAAGATTCCTACTATAGTTGCTTTTCTATCAATTTTTTCTTTTCTTCTTTTAACTTTTACTTAATACATTTTGATGTTATGTTTAACACGAGTCTTTAACTTCTAAGTCTTCATTGTGGAGTGTACCCTGTGTTGATATAAAATGACATTCTTGATCCAGTTGTATGCGTTTTAGGTATAAATGTACTGATATCCTATCATCTGCTTTTGAAATTTACATTTGCTTGATTTATCTTTAACAAACTATTTTTAACCTGAGTTGTTTTATGTAAATCTGTGTATGATTAATCTCCTAAGAAAGAGAAACTTGAAAGTATAGGTTATGTATATCTTCCAAACCTAGAATACTACCAGACCAGAATACCACCTAGATATCAGAAGATATGTAATGTTTTGTTTATACTGTGTATCAATACTCTCAGATCATCTTCTCTATGATGAATTCACAACCTAGACTCCTCAGTTAAAAAAGTAATTTTCTACTTCAGTAAACTTTTCACTGGCACTTCTAAACTCAAAAATAATGTAGATATTTTAATATATAGTATTTGTTTATAGCTCAGACTGATTACAATAAGATTATTATAGGAAAGTAATTCAACAAAGGAAGAAATGTGACAATGTATAATAGTAGTTATTGTATATTAAACTACATGCCAAACATTTTACATGTATCTCTAACCCTACTACAACTTTATAAGAGATTTATCACCTCTTATTTCCCAGTACACACTAATTATCTTGTTCAAAGCCTGCATCTGAACCTAAATGTGAATCTGATTCTCAAACTTTTTATTCCCATGTCCTGGTTTTACTGACAGCATGCCTACTAACTATGTGATAAAAAAAAAGAATACCTCTTTGAGCTCGTATTTTTCCTATCTATGAAGAATCTCCAAAGTTTGGAGTATCATAGTGCTTCAATTCTATGCAACTAATTTAAGTCTAATGTATTAAACAGTGGTGCATGAACCACAGAATCCTTGAGATTAATATGAAGCAGACAACTGTCATTCTCCTCTTGGCACAGCATCCTTTTCCCTTTGGGAAGCTATCATTCTCCCTGTGGTTTGGGGGCATCAGAGGTGGACCTTATTCTTCAGCTCCATATATATGCTCCAAGCCTCTGGCAAGAATGTTTAGTTACGGAATGGGTGCATGCCCTAATCCAGTTAAATTAGAACCTGATCTATGAATTTCTGCTCAAATTGTAGCTCTCCTCCCATTGTAGTTGCTAAAGCAGGCAGATTGTAAAGCTGGACCAACTGGGAGCCACCCCCTGCCAATGTATTACAGAGAGCCTGCCTAAACATAATATAAACAGAGGAAAGGAGAGAGGTGAGAGAGATTCCTGACATTTGTTAAGCACCTAGATCCAGGCCAGAGCATTTTTAGGGTAATACAAGCCAGTAAGCATCTCCTTCTGTTTAAGCTATTTTCAGTTGAGTTGAAATTGATAGAGTTCTTACACATCATACCACTGCTTTCCCCCTCTTTTGAGTTTATATGTCTTTTTTGGAATAAAAATAATAAAGAAAAATAATTTAAACAAGAAAACATAGTACAGTAGAAAAAATACTAGATTTGTATTTGGGAGGTAGGTATAGTTTTGAATTATTATGCAGACAGATTAAATGACCCAGGACAGATTAATATTTGCAGATCTGTTTTATCATTTACATTAGAATAAGACTGAATTAAATAATTACTAAGGTCCTTCAAGGTATAAAAATCTTACAATTTTAGCCCTGGCCAGGGTGGCTCAGTTGGTTGGAGTGCCATCTCATAAACCAAAGGGTTACAGGTTCAATTCCCAGTCAGGGTACATGCCTAGATTGTGGGTTAGGTCCTCACTAAGGGCACATAGGAAAAGCAACTGATCCATGTTTTTCTCTCGCATCAATATTTCTCTCCCTCTTTCCCTCCCTACCTCTCTCTCTAAAAATCAATGAGCATGTCCTTGAGTGAGATTTTTTTTTAATTTTTTTAAACCTTACAATTTTATGAATATACAGAGTAGATCACAGGTTTACATATTGTATATCAGAAGAACACAGTTTAGCCCAGAAGAACATATTGGAAAAAATAAAAATGTTATGTTGAGTTTTTTAAAAGCTGAAAAAGAGGATAATTATAGCTTATTTTGTTTTAAACGAAGAGAAAATAATAAAAATTTCATTAAGTTACTATATGGGGAAATTTAATAAATAGACTAGAAAAAAGTAACCTGATTAAATGTCATAGGACATAAAAATTCTTTCTTTAGAGAAATGAGAAAATTCCATCTTCTTAGTATCACTTAGAATAAAGTTAGCATTTATTATTAATAGAATAGTTAAGCTTTCATTACAGATAAGTTAATAAGCTCTCTTACAGAGATCATAACATATAGGAATTTTATTCTAATAATTGCTTTGGGAAAACATCAAAAGCTCCAATACTACTACCACCTGAAAGGCAGAAGGCAAGGGAAAGAGAGTGTAGCAGAGATTCTGGGTAAATTTGTCATATTTTAAAAGTTTGTCTCTTTAAATTCAGAAAATTTGGAAATCTTTCCAAAATATATACTTAACCAGTACTTGTAAGATGTTTTAACTCTTTATTCATAGCTTACAACAAATACTGTGAGTTACTGATTACAATTCTGAAACATTAGTGCAAATGCAAGCAGTGTGAGGCATAGGATTTGGCTGGAAACAACCCTAGGAATTACCTTATGGAAGTGGAACATAATTGCCTCTTTAAAAAAAAAAAAATTAAGGAAACACTCTGTGTACAAGTGCCTTCTTTTTTTAAAAATAATTTTCTTACTTTTTATTTATTTATTTTTTATTATTTATTTATTTTTAGAGAGGCAAGGGAGGGAG